GAACTCCTGCTGCTGATTTTCTACTTCCTTACTAGTCAATATAAGTTTCAGCTCCCACTAAATTCACATTTCTAGTATTAAAGTTCATCCTTAGTTTGTTGAGTCAGTGAGTGTGTGTGTGTGTGTGTGTGTGTGTGTGTATACCTGGCCAGATACTGTCCTGATGACGGCAGCTCGTGGCCGTTTGGTTTGTCGTAACAGTTGACGATGTTCTGGACCAGAGCCAGGTCCGGCCTCAGCATGGTTGCCGCAGTGACTGCCCGTCCAATCAGCTGCAGAGCATCCCGAATGTAGAAGCTGATTGGCTTCCTGCCGACCTCTCCGTAGGCGAGCAGCCCGAGAGGTCCGCCCAGAGTGTGGAGGGAATCTGGAGACAAGGGGTATCCCATGATCCACTGCAGCGCCGGTAGCGATGTAGTGAGGCGCTGAGCGGCTCGCAGCACAGAGGAGACACACTCAGGGTCGGAGCCCAGCAGGAGGACGGAGGAGGCCGGGGAGGTGGAGCCGAGGAAACGAGCGGAGAGGATCTTCAACGCCTCTTCAACCATCTGATCCTCCCTTCGCTCCTCGCTGGCCTCACCCCTTCGGTCCCCGCCCCCTGTGATGTGGGTGAGGTTGATGATGTCCCACAAATGCCACGCTGGGCCGCTGTGCTTCTGGAGGTGAGAGAGCAGCCCCTCGCCTCCTTCCTCCCACCCGGGGCAGGTCACTGCCACCCCTCCCCAGCTCCCCCGGTCTCTGTCCTCGTTTCCACCCTGCAGGACGGCCAGCAGCAGGCTGCCCAGGGTGGACGGAGGCACGCGGGCCGACATCTGGAGGTGGAACAGGTTCTATGTGAGATGAGAGAAGTGAGGGGAAAATGGAAAGAGAAAATATTAGTGAAAATTGAAAAAAGTTCTTCATAATATTTCATGGCGAACAACGAAGTTCCAAAAGTCCAGGAACGAGCCACGAGTTTATCCAAAGAGCCAAATATTAGCATCTGAGAACTACCTTATAACATAAATACAAGATGATGATCGCTAAAATAAAAAAAGAATTTAAATAAAACTAGAAGTTGCCAAAACAGACCACTGGAAGGTACCAACGGCCCTAACCGACATTAAAAAAGATAATATATGTATATATATATATCCAT